GGAGTCCCCATCCCTGGAAGTATTTAAAAGATGTGTAGATGCGGTGCTTAGGGACATGGTTTAGTGGGCATGGTGGTGTTGGGTTGACGGATGGACTCGATGATCTTAGAGGTCTTTTCCAACCTTAATGATTCTATGATTCTATGATTCTATGAAATCCCTTCTAGTGAGAGCTCAGAATAAGACGGGGCTTTCTTGCTTATGATTCTGGAGTGCATTCAAAGGGCAGGAGTCAGTGGGACTAGTATTTCTCAGTGTGTCCCAAATAAATAAAGTAATAGAACATGCAAGAAAGCAAAACCATTGGGAAGGGGTAGCATTTTCCTCTTTCTCTCCACAGAAAAGAGGAGAAAAGGCTCATTAGTCACAGTATGTCTCTTGACCCCAGAAAAAAAATGCCAGCCTCAGCTTCAAACTAAGCATCAAGGTCCTGCTTGCCTTTAGCAGCTGTGTCCCTAGTTCGAGGGTACTCAGAAAACTATGGGAGAAACAAGGAGAAAGATCAGAAGACATGGCAGATGAGATGACTCTGGACCCACAGATTTTGAGATCAAACCTCAGATATGGTGAAATTCTGATAAAAGGCACGTCAAGGGTATGCTGTAGAGTTGTTCTTCTTCCTGACTCTTGGTGCAGCTTTTTTAATGAATAATGTGTTCTATAAATTCCCAAATATCTTCCAACATAATGCATCAAGCAGAATATAAAGCCCTGTGTTGGGTTGACCCCAGCCAGCAGCTAAGACCCATGCAGCTGCTCAGTCACTCCCCCCACCCCACAGCACGACAGAAGAGAGAATAGGAAGAGCAAAAGAGAGAACTCATGGGTCAAGATAGATTTTAATAAGTGAAGGAAAGAGGGGGAAAAAAACACCGAAGTTTTGCAAGGGCAATCACTGACCATCTCCCACGAGCAGACTGATGCCCAGAGAATCTCTGAGCAACGGCCACCCTGGAAGACACAACTCCTAACCACTTCTTCTTCCTCTACCCCAGTTTTTATTGCTGAGCATGACGTTATATGGCAGGGAATATAACCTTGGCCAACTCGGGTCAGCTGTCCAGGCATTGTCCACTCCCAGCCTCTTGCCAACCTCAACCTACTTGCTGGGGGGGGCAGAGTGACAAACAGAGAAAGCCTGGACGCTGTGCAAGCACTGCTCAGCAAGAGCCAAAACACTGGTATGTTATCAACACGGTTCTAGCCACAAACCCAAAACACAAGAGAATTATCTCCCTCCCAGCCAGAGCCAGGACAAGTCCTAATTTCTTAGAATTCTGTATTTACAGAATGAAACCTCCACTACTGTAGCCAGACTACAGAGGTATCTGTGACAGATAGGTAGACAGAGTAGCCTGCTCAAATCTAACAGTCTCCAAACAGCAGCTCCAGTAGGAGTTTGCAGTCCACCACTGCACTGTCTTTCTGATTTTTCAAGCCTTATGAACAACTATAAAACTATACTTCATGTTTTGAAACCCTTACTTTTGCATGAATATATTTTCTATTAGGTTACAATCATTACTAATAAGACTAAGATCATCTCCGAATTGCAGACCAGAACAGAAGAAGGAATGTTTGTTATTATTTTTTATTTTTAAAATAATATTATTCCATTCTCTACCTCTGCCTTTCAAAACATAGTGCTGGATTAGTTCACGTGCTGATGACATAAAACTCAGACTGCCTTGTTGAATACTATGATACGAAGGGCAGAAAACCTGACTTCTTTTTCAACTATGCTTTTAGCTTTCTTGTAATCTCACTAAAATTTCTGTGCACCTTGGGTTATCCCGCACAGATGTATAATCAGAAAGAGATAAGACTTACTTTCTGTGGAAACATCTTTAGACGTACAGGTGAACTGTTGTATAGGAGCTAAATGAAACTGCTGGGTTTGGTCATGTTATTTTTATTCTTGTGTGTCATTACAGATTTAAACTCCATTTATGGGGTAGACTCAGTGCTCATGTTCAGCACATGCCCAGTTAGGATCCACCTCCTAATTTTTAGACTGTTGCCTACCAGAGTGGAATCAATGACCTGGTATTAGACATTGTCATGGTTTAACCTCAGCTGGCAACTAAGCACCACCCAGCTGCTCGCTCACTCCCCCACAGTGGGATGGGGGAGAGAATCGGAAGGGCAAAAGTGAGAAAACTTGTGGGTTGAGATAAAGACAGTTTAATAGGCAAAGCAAAAGCTGTGCACACAAGCAAAGCAAAACAAGGAATTCATTCACTCCTTCCCATCGGCAGGCAGGTGTTCAGCCATCTCCAGGAAAGCAGGGCTCCATCACGCGTAACGGTGACTTGGGAAGACAAATGCCATCACTCCGAACGTCCCTCCCTTCCTTCTTCTTCCCCAGCTTTATATGCTGAGCATGACGTCACATGGTATGGAATGTCCCTTTGGCCAGTTTGGGTCAGCTGTCCTGGCTGGGTCCCCTCCCCGCTTCTTGTGCACCTCCAGCCTTCTCAGTCAGTAGAGCATGGGAAGCTGAAAAGTCCTTGGCTACTGTAGGCACTACCTAGCAACAACTAAAACATCGGTGTGTTGTCAACATTGTTCTCACCCTAAATCCAAAACACAGCACTGTACCAGCCACGAGGAAGGAAATTAACTCTACCCCTGCCGAAACCAGGACAGACATGAAGCCAGCCAGCATACTACATGGAGGGAAAGAAGTGGTCAGGAACGCTATGAAGGAAATCAAAAAACCTAAATGCCTTTCTAGTATGGCCATGGGATTGGAGGATTCTGGATCCAGCTAGGTTAATATATAGCTCTCACTCAGGTTTAGCAGGAGCAAAGCATTGTGCTGTTCATGCTGCAGAAATTCATGACAGACTGGGATGCAGAGTTCAGGTTTTCGGTGACTCTTCAGGTCACGTGCAAACCTGTAGTGAATTCACTTTTCAGCTTCAGCAACTCATGGATCACATCCTGGGACTTGGGGCTACCTAACTCTATTTCATCTGCATCTTGTACCAATGGTTTATGTTACTGCTGATGCACATCCTATGAAGGGATAAGTAGTCCTGCACGGCCAGTCCCTAAGCCCCCATATTCAGCATAAGATCCACTATTCAATCTCCCGAGCAGCTATGTAAAACATCTGGAGACTAAAAAGATCAACAGCTTCAGCCTCACAGGCACTAAGAGCAAAACTGGCTGGCCACAAGGATTGACTACACCACTGCAAGAGATGAGAACAGCTATGTACATCTATGTGCCCCATGAAAGACTGGTCTGAAAGTGTATAACCCATGCTGCCCTGCTGCCTGCAACATCAGGACATTATAGGAAGGAGCTTGCCCCTGGGGCTCTACACCACATAATACAAGGTCTGTTTCCCTCAGTATGTATGCTGGAGCGTGTCCAAAGAAGGGCAATGAAGCTGGTGAAAGGTCTAGAGCACAAGTCTTATGAGGAGCAGCTGAGGGAACTGGGGTTGTTTAGCCTGGAGAAAAGGAGGCTGAGGGGAGACCTTACCGCTCTCTACAGCTACCTGAAAGGAGGTTGTAGCGAGGTGGGTGTTGGTATCTTCTCCCAAGTAACAAATGATAGGATGAGAAGAAATGGCCTCAAGTTGTGCCGGGGAGGATTAGATTGGATATGAGGAAATACTTCTTCACTGAAAGAGTGGTGAAACATTGGAACAGGCTGCCCAGGGAAGTGGTTGAGTCACCA